CACCTTCTCAGCACCATCTCGTGCCCCCGGGCGTCATTGGCTCTCAGCACTCGGCCGCCCTCGTCCGCCACGAACAGACCGGGGCACGCGGACATCAGCTCCTGACCCACATCGCTGTCCACCGCCACGTCCTGAAGTGGAGGGCCCCGGGACGGGGGAGGGGGGCGGGGGGAGGGGGGCGGGGGGTTTTATCCGTACATGGACACGTCGCTGTCAGAGGGACAGGACGGGGAGATCGGGAAGCAGTCGGCTTGCGGGGGGAGAAGACGAACACCACCGACCGGGAGAAGTACACATGTACATACATACATACATACATACATACGCATGCACGCACAAGAGGGCTCGGAAGGCAACGAGAGAGACCAGGAGACCGAGCCCCAACGGAACCGCCATGTCCCCCCTTCCCTTCCCTAACCGCCACCCACCTGGATCACGTGTACGACAGGCTGCAGGCGGTACCAGGCCGTTGCGACGGGGGACCACTTGGCGTGCTCCTTACCCCGCCCCTTGGTGGCGTGCGCCTCCAGCTGGATAGTCTGACCGGGGCGCAACTTGGCAAGAAGGATGTCGTCGTGTACGGCACGTGGTTTCGGAGTGGCGGGGTCGGCAAACAGGTGTGCCTGCCCCGCAGCGAATCGGCACGTGGTTTCCTCGGGCAGCTCCGAGCCCCCCGGCAACCACTCCAACTGCCCGGAGAACACTGGGGTTGGGGTTGGGGTTGGGGTTGGGGTTGAGGGGAATGGAGCGGTACCGGGTTAGTGGGGGGTCAGGGGCAAGCAGCTCCCGACGTGACTCGAACCAGTGCCGTGTGTGTATTACCCCTATCTCCGGCCCCGGGGCATGGCCGGAGCGGAAGGGGGGGTAGAGGACGGAAAAGCCGGTGAGGGGAGAGAAGGGGAGTGGGAAGGTTTTGCGAACTGCAAGGGAATGACAGGTATGCACAAGGCGGCCTCTACCACCCCACCGCGTTCTTAGGGCCTCGTCCCAACTTGATGGACCCCCTACTGGCTCACTGTCATAGCCAAGGTACCCTGTGGCCACTACTCCCCTCCCCCTCCCCCGCC